AAAAAGTTCAGGACAGTAAAAACCGGAATTTATTATAGTTTTTCATCCACCAGATTTTTTTGATCAACAGTGAAGAACGTCATAAGACACGAAAATCTGATTCTATATCCAAATCGAATTGTGCTTCTATTTTCAGTACTTATATATTCATGTTTATGAATTTTAGAAGATTCTGGTAGGTTTCATTTTTAGGAATTGTGTTGTATTGAATCTGTATTTTGTAAATAGGCAATAAACGAACAGTTTCTCATTTAGAGATTAGAAACAGAAGTTTGCGGCAAAATAAGATTAAAAAGTTTTAAAATAGAATGATCTTATTGCTTAAAGTATCAGAGTAGATGTTGGAGGTCAAAAGTAAGAGAAAAATTTCAACTCGGATAAAATTGAAAATACGTCTTACGAGAATGATTCAATTCTCTTTTTAAGAATAAAAAGAATAAAAAAGTAATTATTAAAGTAAAAAGTAAAGTTCATGGTTCATGTATGACTAATGACGTCATAATTAGATATAATGTCATAATTGATACATTACAAAAGTCAATTCAATTTTTTAGCTTTGGAACTTAATTCATGTGGAAAGAATATCAAATCGTTTCGAATTTTATTATAAATATTAAGTAAAATAAATATAAAATTTTATTATAAATAAAATATTATTATAAATAAAGTATTATTATAAATAAAATTTTATTATGAATAAAATAAATATAAAAAATAGATGAGAAACATATATATTAATTAATATGAAAGCAAAAAGGTATATATGTCGTCACTTTACAAAAAGTGCCGCAAGATTACATCATGACACATTTTTGGATATATTCAAAAAATGTCTCTAAAATTTATATTCTGTAAAAAAAAATTGTTTAATGCTTACGTCATCGATCTATGTCGGAGACGTGAATTACGTCGAGGATGGTATTTTGCAATAATCAATGGATTGCGTATACATTCATATGTCACAGGAAACGTGATATCTATGATATTCGCGCGATGGCTCTTGAACGCGATCGCGTGATGATCTTCGTGCTTTATTCACGAACCATTGATTTCACCGACTATAAACCGTAGCCTCACTTTATATCGTTCGATGGCTCGCGCCGATAAGTTAATTGACTACGGAATAGCGTCCATTGAAAAATACTTGTACTCCTTCGTCTCGTCTTCTAATATTTTTATGATATCAATGCATCTTAATTATTATGTTTATCTTTCTAAGTCAGCAAGTGTAGATAAAATATCAGAACAGTTTTTTAAATTTCTAATTTAAGGCTGTTTTGTACCTATTTTCAAAATATTGAGAATTTAATGAAAATTGTACAGAATGTCCTTACATATGTTTAGAATCTTCAGTACAATTTTTAAATCGATTCACTAAAGTGTTCACAACCCAGTAAGCAAAATGTTAGCAGTCTGTCAGCAGCATACGAGCAGATTCAAACAGAATATTTCGGCAGATTGGCATCAACTGCGTCCGCATTAAGCTTGGGTTCTGCTAGCAGAATCTGTCAGCATAAACTGACAGCAGATTGACAGCAGAAATCGAGCAGGATCTGCGCGTGCAATTTGATGTTAGATTGTCAGCAGAAACCGATCAGAATCTGCGCATGCAACCTGATGACAAATTGACAGCAGAAACTGCACAAGATTTGCGCTTACTTTTATTAATGTTATATAAATGCAACAAAATTGATTATTACAAGTGCTAAATAACAATATTATCGGCAAGTTAATTAAAATTTTCTTAGAAAATAACATATGTAATATGTTATGTATATTGTAATTATATCTCATATAGCGAAGGATTAATTCAATTTAATTAAATTAATAATAAAGTAAATGATAAAAGTAAATGTAACTTGTAAAACTTGAGATGTAATTTATTATATTTAGAATTAAATTCTTGCTTTATATCTCAAATAGGCAGTACATGAATAATTTTTCATTTATCATATTGATTCCTATCAGTTTAATATTCTGACTCTCATTTGCTTGTATCAGATATCAGAAATTAAAGTGATAGAAATTAAAATGATAATTACTATATTTTTAGTCTTTTCATATTCGCGACTTTATATATATTTCTGACAGAAATTTAATTACGAGAAAGTACAGCTCACGTAGCGGTAAGTGAAGGAACTATCGAATCATGCAAACCCTGTTCCATTTCTGCCACAATCTGCTATCAGAGATTGTATGCGCAGATCCTACTCGATTTTTGCCAACAATCTGTTGTCAAATTGCATTGCACAAATCCTGTTCAATTTCTGCCACCAATCTGCCACTAAGTTATGTCGGCAGAATCTGTTCGATTTTTGCTACCAATCTGATAATTGACTATGTTAACAAGCTTTGTTATATTTCTGTTGACATTCTGCCGACATCACATGATATATCAGAACCTGCATCGATTCTGTAATCTTTCTGTCGACAACAATTTGTAACAGATTCCCTGACAAGATCTGCTTTAGCAGACTTGGCTATTGGGGAAGTTATTGGGAAAAAAAGTTACCACCGCGGGTAGAGGGGCGCTCGTGTCGCTTAACAAATATGGCTGTCGCAAAGGGCGATTTAACATTTAACCCTAGTAGCACAAAACATTGGCAAAATATTGGTATACCTTGGCTCAATATTGGTTATATTGGAAATGTCTTGACTAATATTTCCCAATGCTCCCAATGCAAAACTAATATTCGTTGTTAACAAAAGGCAAGTGTTCTGCCAATATTGCAGTGCCTATGATGGCCAATATTGGCAACTAAATAAATATAAATATGTTGCCAATATGGTTGCATCCATTATAATACCAATATTGGTTATGAAGTAAATGTAAATGTGTGCCAATATTGCATGTTCACACACTATATGTAACCTTCGCACGTCGCCACTAGGTGGCGAAAAGGAAAACACCTAACCCGAGAGTAGAACTCCATCTAAAATAGTATATAATGTCGCGGCACAAATCCCACGAGTTATCAATCGGAAAAATGCGGACTATTATAGCCGCACACCCTTTATCTTTTGCGAAGAGCTTTAGAGCTCCATAAATTAATTACAGACGGTTAATTTTTTTTATGGCGAATTCCGTCATATATTAGAAACTGATCTATATCCAATGTAAAAATATTTGGGTATAACTAGCCAATCTTGGTTAAAGATGAAAATAATATATTCGTCCAATATTACAATTCAATATTGGCTCAAAATGAAAGCGCGTCTACTTTGCAATATTGGACCAATATTGGAAATATTGGATGTATATTGTTAGCCAATATTGCTCCAATAAAGTGTGCTATTAGGGAAGATTTACTGTTTTCAAAAATTGTTAAGAAAACGCGAATGTTGTCACTGCGTTTAGATACTCTGTATAGCTATACTAATGCTACAACCTCTTCAAGAATTATGATTAAAGGCCAGAATGTAATAAATTCTAGCTTAATTATCATGTGCGGTAAAAAGTCGTGAAAAAATTTATTTATTTTCCTTGTGTCTTCATTTTTTTGTTTATTCTAATACTTCTCAATGTATTATACACTTTTATTTCATAGAAACACACTGATTGCCGTATCTAAACAATATTAAGGTCCAGTTCCACTCGAGTTAATCCGAGTTTAATACGTTAAACTAAGTCCTGATTGGTCCATTTACTACTTAAACTCGGATTAACTGGATTGTGGAACTGGGCCTAAATCGCCCTTTGCGACGGCCATATTTTTTAGTTTGCGTTTCGTCCACTAGTGTCGCATAGTAAATTTATATTCCCAATAAGGATTTTAATTTGCACCGAATTAACATGTGTTCTTATGGGAAGCGTATAACTACGTCGATTCAAATGACAAAATCACATGGAAATAATATTCAGAATTTGTTTAAAATTTGCAAAAGTTTAGATACAGAGGAAAAATTTGGTCAAATAATATTATACAAATACTAACTGGTTAAAAAATATTAAATATAATTCATTGAAGTTAGCCATGTATCTGTCACAAGGCGAAATTCTCTGCCAAAAGTTAATCATTTCGATTAACAAAATTCGGAAAATTTCAGTAAAAACGCAATAAATATTAAAAAATACATCTCTGCACTGTAGCTAAGATCAAATTGTAATATTCTACACAATTTCTCATACTCAAAATACACCAAAAGTGAATATTCGTCAATATTGATTTTCAGTTACTTTCTGATGGGATTGTACATACAAAACATCCTTAATCGCGGATGTAATCATTTTTCATATCGCGATAAAACCTTTGGGCGTGATTTTTGATTGTCGAAAGAATGTATGTGAAAACTATATGAGATTGAAATACATACACGATATGAAAAATGATTAGCTTCGTTAAAAAACTTTTTTAGGAAAGTTACGTCCAGAAGTTGGGATGTCGATCAGGAAAATCTGGAAAACCAGGAATTGTCAGGAGATTTTATAATTTTGGAAATATCAGGGAAAAGTCAGGGATTTTAACAATTTATCTAAATTTTTTTCACATCGTTCAACTTTTTTTCTCATTAATTTAACATTTAATTTAAAAAAAATCTGTTTTTATCTGGAAAGTTTATTTATGAACGTGTTAATTTATATTTTCACTTTAGCAGTGAATAAAATGAGTATTTTTTTGAGCCTTATATAAAGAATTTCTATTTATTTCTTGATAAAAATAGTTGAAAGATTTTTTTGATTCATCTTATTTAATTGACTTACAATAGCAATACATTCTTTTTAAAAAAAATAGTACTAAAAGATTGTTCCGCGAAAAATAATTCTTGGCTTTGGAAAACCTGGAAAAATCAGGGAATTCTTTTTCTGAATCTAGATATCTTGAGAAGGTGATTCTGCGGACTTTTGATAACGAAAGACCCAGCAACGAGATCGTACAAGATTTACATACTGTTTCCAAGTTACGCTTCCATTAATAATACTGTAGTAATTAAAAAGCAATCGAGACGAGGTACGATTGTCCTTGAGAGATTTTTAACGATCAATGTTTCTATCTTTGCAGACGATCTCAAGTACGTGCACCAGGCGCTACTGCAAAGCGCTAAACGCGCGGGATCTGTGGACAACATCACTGTGATTGTCGTGTTCCTGACATCACCGGTCGAGATTGCTTCGCAGCATTCGCTCCTGACGCATCCAGCACCGAATGGTCTACTACTGAACAGCATGGACCCGAATAATCCGGTCTCGTCGAATTCCGGCCAGTTCGACGTGAATGCTACTTTCATTAAGCAGCAACAGCAGCAGCAGATAATGGATCCGGATTTGAATCACGTGATTTGCGGAATGACCAGGAATGGCAAGCATCAGGATAGTGATGGTAACGACGATTATTACGATTATGGTGACCTGGGTCCGGAGACTGACGTCGACGGCGGCGAGGACGCCAACGATGTTAATCGCTTCCAGGATCACCTCGTCACGTCGTCGTCGCGCGAAAAGTCACCGATGGAGATCGGAGTCGACGATGAGAATGATAGCAAGAAGGAGGATCTACTTAATCGCGACAATGCAAATGTCTCTCCAATGGACTCGGTGGTCTCCGACAATCGTGTCATTTTGAGTGACTGGGACGTTCGTTGCGATGAAAAGCCGCGCGACAACGACGACGACGACAACGACAACGAAGAATTGCGCGTGGAATCCACCACTGGCACGCATACCCTCGTAGACGATGACGAGTCGCCACCCTCGCCGCGAGATGCTAGTAAGTGCACCTTGTCCGTTGTAAAGACTCGTCTGTGCGCTGAGCTGGTATATGGTTATGCTTATCGCGCGGTCAGCAATCTCTTCGTGTCGCTGGCCAATTATATTTCGGCCTCATTCGCCTCTCACGTTTTCGGTCTACGCAAGAAGTGAATGGAAAGTCTCGTTGAACATCGTAAGGGTGGGTTTTCACTTAACGTTCGACGCTCTTTTTTAGCGTCAACAGGCTTCACATGATCAACAAATAACGAATTGGTATTTTTATTTTTAGTCACATGATTTTTTGACGCTGAAAATAAGCATTGCGCGTCGACATGAAAAGGCGCCTTAAAGGTGCAAATTCATGGGACACTAAAAAAGTAGCGTCAACCATTGGTTGAACAAAGAAGTAAGTAGTTGCTTCATTGTTCAACCATTGACGCTACTTTTTAGCGTCTCATGAATTTGCATCTTAAGGGTGGATTTTCACTTGACCCTCGACGCTCATTTTTAGCGTCAAAAGGCATCACATGATCAAAAAATAACGAATTGGTATTTTTATTTTTTGACGCTGGAAAACGAGCGTCAAATGAAAACCACCCTAAGGAGATGGATATATATGTATATATATATATATATATATATATATATATATATATATATATATATAAAACGATAAGTGGATGTAAATTATAAATTTTCGTCGTCGATGTCTGCGATAAGATTGCACTAGTTATTATGCATAAAGCATTTTATATATTTCATTAAAGAACGATACAAAATACGCGAATGAAATAGCGTCGAGAGAAATAGCATAGCAAGTTCCTTGTCGGGAATAAAGCAAAGAAGAACTCGTATCGCTTGCTGATAATATCGCTTACTTTGAGAATGCGAGGAAAAGAGTCTATTGTATAAGATACACTGCCATTATTGTTTTTCGCGATACACACAATCTTCTGCTGTAAAAGCGCACCGTAGAAGAGTAAAATTGAAATATATTTGAATGCACGGTGCGTTTCCATGTGATTTATATTATTGAAAATAGAATGTGTTTTGTAATGATTCAATTTTCATGCTCGCGATCCATGAAAATGAAATTTGTATGCTCCTTTTATTTTATTCTTCTTAATATGAAAACTATCATATTTCTTTTTTTATCGATATCTCTCCAGAACCAGAGTCTTATCAGAGTAAGATGGGAGATAAGTCGAAACTATTATCTTTTTCTTGAAGGAATCGTCGTTAATAGACTGTACATATCCCACAGTTATAATCGATTGAGTTTTAAAATATTGATGGCAGGAAGCATCATTTTTTTTTCCTACGAACTGATAAAATCAATTCGATTATAAAGGCGCGAAATGTTTAATCGTTATCGGCAATTTGATGAACAACGAAACTTAGAAAGTTCGCGAATTAACGGAAGTAGCGAATATGTCAGCAAGATACCGTACGAGGAAACCTGTTTTTCTAATTGAATTTTAAAATTGATTCTATTTAACCCGCATCGGCAACATTGCGAGAACGGAAATTGAAATGCATTGAGAGTGATAAAAAGCAGCTTTTTACCGTAAGATTGCTTTCTCGATTAGCGGAAATATCGAGTAACCGAAGCTCACTAGCGTAAACTAGACGTCGTAAATTTTTATATCACCAGATATATGCAATTTTTTATATGCTTATTATATTTGAAAAGAAAGAGAAATGTTTCTCTAAATAATGATTATTTATGGAAATAATAGATAGTATTGTCATGGAGTAATAATTAATAATGAATGTTTGACAAATTAAATATCAACTATTAACAATTGAAGAATAAGTAAGATTATTTTATTAGTTAAATAAGTAAGATTATTTTATTAGTTAAATTAATGAAAAATAGCAAAGTGGCTTTAAAATTGAAAAATTTCAAATATTAATTTAAATAAAAAAATGAGACGTTCTTATTAATTTACTTGATAACCAAAAATAAAATTGCTTTCTAATTCTAAAATTTAATTCATTTAATTTTTAAAATAAACTGTCAGTTTATTACTTTGCATTAAATATGTTACTTTTGATATGAAAAATTATCATTTAAAAACTTGATTACTCTTCAAAAAAAGTTTACATCTGGTAAAGAGAAAAAAAGTTTTACGACATTTATTTTCGCTATCTTCTTTTCTTTGAGATCATTATTTATCACTCATCGCTAATATGATCTGAAAAGAAATCTTTATAAAAAAAAAACTGTGTTCTTTGTCAACGATATCTTTAATCAACGACGCTCGCAATAATATGAAATCCGTATAATTAATACATTAGGAATAATCAGAAGATACAGTAATACGATAATTCGTCATTAGCGTTATCACGCAGCGGTTTTAGATAATTAAACAAGTACCATCGTGTCACTCTGCAAACGGAGTACCGTTATGTGACTTTCGAATCGAGCGCGTCGGCGGCCAGGGGCGCGCTCGGCAGCGCCGCGATTGGTCGGCGCGGCGAGCTCGCGGCGCCGATAGACGCAAGCGCGGCCAATCGGACGGCGTGCCGCCAATTGTCGCCGGCCGCGTGGAAGGGGGCCGCCGACAGTTCTTCTCGGGCCCTCGCACGGCTTGCGGGTGTGTTAAAGTCTCTCGTGTAGCTCCCTCGGCGGATTTTCGCGGTGCTCGCGCGAGTTAAACGAGTCGACTCCTTCCATCGCACGCGTCATTCCCCGGCGTGCTGCATCGTCACCGTCGCGAGAGAGTCGGACACGCACGGACGAACGTCGTCCCCGAGGTATGTGTACAACGCGCGCGCGCGCGCGCGCGAACGCCTATCGTGTTGCCGGGAATTGCGTATTTAAATTTGGAAGCGACGCTGCCCCTACGTGTGTGTGTGTGTGTGTGTATCCTCGTCCACGAGACAACCGTCGACATCTAAGGACACTTTACCGGCCGGCGACGCGAAGTTCAAGTCTGTCGCGGAGCGACAGTTGGAAAGAGGGGAGGGGCGGGTAGGGGGGGAGAAAAAAGTCGCCGGGCGATAGAGTCGTTAGATTTTCACCCACGACGCGGGGCAGCGGACGTATAGTACCGGTTTCGAACCTCCGTATCCTCCCCCTCCCCCCCCGTCTTCCTTTTTTTCCCTCGAAGGGAAAGAACTAATTCTTACGACGCATTAGATCGAGGCTCCTGCTCCGTTCTAGTCTCTCTGACGCTCTGGTTTCCGCCTTTCCGTGCGAACGAGAAAGAGGAAACGGAGCGTAGGAGGGGAGGGGAAGCGAGGGGTGGGGGAGGAACCGTTCTCGGCCGCATCATGCGGAGCTTGTACGAAAATACCGTGTGTTGTGAAATCGCAAATTGTGTTGTGAATTATTCTGTCGTCATCGTCGCGTTGTTGAGAACGAGGTCGAAGATCGGGATGATGTATCCTCGTCTCTCCCCCGCGACGTCTTTGTCGGGGATGTTGCGCGCGCAATGTTTTGTCTCGTATCTATCTCGAGAGAGCGAGTCGAGATGGTTATTATTATTTCAATGGGTATAAATATGCGAGAGTACGAAAAAAAAAGTCTCTCCCGATCCGAGTAAAAGCGGGTTTCCACGGGCGTCTAATCGATATCGAGAAATCTAGGAAATCTATGAAGTCCATTTACGGACTTGACGGGTTTCGTTAAAGGCCCCTCCTCGTCGGGTTAAAGTCTCTAATTTTGCGAGAAAAATTTTTTTTTTCCCCCAAATTTTTGCTGAAGATTGAGAACGCGATTTTTCACGAGGGTTAAGGATATCGCAGAAAATTCTCGAGGAGAAAGAGAGTAAGATGGAACATTATTTAAAGAGAAAATTCAGAATAATTTTTCGCAGGTTATATTTAACGCTTGGAAAGTTTGATGAAATTTTTATTGTGTCCGCCAATGAAGTTGGACCTAACCTAACCTAACCTAACCTCTCGTCCAATCGGTGCCAATTCGAATCGGTATTATTTATTTATATTTATATTATGTTATATTTCGGGCGCAACACAAGGTATCGAGAAATCTGGGAAATCCCGTCCATTTACGGACTTGACGGATTTCGTTAAAGGCCTCTCCTCGTCGGGTTAAAGTCTCTAATTTTGCGAGAAAAAATTTTTTTTTCCCTTAAATTTTTGCTGAAAATTGAGAACGCGATTTTTCACGAGGGTTAAGAATATCGCTGACGCAGAAAATTCTCGAGGAGAAAGGGAATAAGATCGAGCATTATTTAAAGAGAAAATTCAGAATAATTTTCCGCAGGTTATATTTAACGCTTGGAAAGTTTGATGAAATTTTTATTGTGTTCGCCAATGAAGTTGGACCTAACCTAACCTAACCTCTCGTCCAATCGGTGCCAATTCGAATCGGTATTATTTATTTGTATTTATATTATGTTATATTTCGGGCGCAACACAAGGAAACATCAGACAAGAGAGGGAAAAATAAAGAGAGAGAGAGAGAGAGAGAGAGAAAAACTGTCAGAAACTAACTCTAGGGAAATTCCGACAACCCTTAGATCCGCTCGATACAGAAAGGATGATTAATGCGCCTTTTTTCCCTATCGGTTTTACGATGCAATTAATTCGCCAATCGCGTGTCCTTCCTGCGTCATGCATTGCTACCTCTATTTATAGATATGAACGCAGTTGAGTTTTAACGTTCCCAATATCGCCTTCCAAACGTTTAGAGCGATTTCGTCGCGTGGTGTCATATGTACAAGGTAATTGGATCTATCGCCACGATATCGTCCTGGCTGCCAGTCTCGTCTTTTGCTCATTTAAATGACTCATCGTGACAGAAAAGCACTGCCTTACAGAGTTTTATTAGAGTTTTTTAAATTTTTTAAAATTTATTTTTTATTTTTAAATCGCGCTTTTCATGAATCTCACGATTCTATCAATTTTTCTTGTTTTTCTTGATAGATATTCGCAAAAGTCTCGTGATAAAATTTGTCAGATTAAGGATGTTTTCTATGTACAATCCCATCAGAAAGTAACTGAAAATCAATATTGACGAATATCCACTTTTGATATATTTTGAGTAAG